CCGACTGATAGAACCTATTGTTTGTGTCTCTTACGACGTATGTTTCCATTTTTGGCATTTGTAGGATTTAAGCCAAACCTTACTAAGCTGTCATCCTTCTGAAAGACAGAAATGATCCCCACGCCACAGGCCTCAGTGCCAACAGCCTACCAACAACGCCCATTTCTTTTCTGTGTCATCTTGTCAAGGCAAAGGACCTAGGCCTCTTCAGCTACTTGAGTATATAAACATACTTACTTAATGGAATCTGTCCCCAAACTGTGATGCATTATCAAATTACCTTCTCTCTTACTTAATATTTCATCACAGGGCTCAGAATTAACACCATCCTTTGCTTTCACAAACAGTTCTCCGCGTAAGGCCTACCAGATGGGATAACTAATCCGCAGAAATAACGTCTCTCTCCACATTTTCCAAGGTCAACAACGTACAAGTACAGACTTAATTGAACCCTGCCTCTGCGCTTTCAACCAGTTAAGTCCTTTTACAAGGGATGGTCTTAACACCCTAGCCATTACAAGTCATGCTCGAGTTTCTTCTTTCATTTCTGAAAGGCTACAGTGCTGAAGTTTAGAGAGGAGACTTTATGAAGGCCAAAGACAAAGACCTCCCCGCCGATTCAAGAAGAAAGTGATGCCACACCGGATTTTTTAACAAAGCATACATAGTACTTTTATAAACACAGGCCAGATCCTCAGGAAGACAAATAAAACAGCATGAAACAGAAGAAACAAAAAAACAAAGGCTTCCCAGTTAAAAAAAAAAAAAAAATTCTTAAATCCAGCTTCTTAGATGTAGAAACCTGTATCTCTTTTTAAGGCTCTCGAGGCGATACAGCCTCTCTCACTCACTGGCACTAATACAGGGAAGAACACGACAGCTCTAGAATCTCAAACCCAGGACGTGGGATTTGGCCCACGTTTATGCTCTTCAGAGGGCAAAACTTTTATAACTAACAAATCACACACACACACACACACACACACTCCCATGGTGTCACTGCTTTAATGCCACACGCACAGCAGTATTACTAAGAGAACCAAAGTGTCTCTGCTGTTTGCAAGTGGAAAGGTTTACCCTGAAGTTTGGCCTTTTTCACTTTGATGGATTAATGTATAGCCACTTCAAGAGGAGAGAACCTAACCCTGAATCTGCAAGCACGCCGGATTATGTTACCGAGCAGTTCATTGTTTTCACAGCTGGGCCAGGATTTCCTTTCAAGACCGAGGCCTCAGTCACTCTGCAGTCTGCTCAAGACAGGCTTCTTTATGATGCAGAGCAAACAGGGAGGCCACCAGGGAACCACACGCACTTATCCAGAAAAAGACCCCTTTCTTTTACTTTCTCAAAAACCAATGGGGCCAGCACCAGCCTATCTCCCAAGGCATTTTCCACTCCTGTCAATTAAGAAGTGGTTAGGAAGGGATTGTCTGAAAGAAGAGGGAAAAAAAAAAGAAAAGAAAAAAAAAAAAAAAAAACTTCTCCATTCCATTGAGAGCTTCCAGAAATGGAAAGCCTGCTCCAGCCTGCATCTTCAGTGTGAGCCTTCTAATTCAAGCACCACCCCCCCACAACTTTTTTTTTTTCCAGATCGACCTTGGCTCTCACTTTCTAAAAAGTAGCATATTACTTGGCCTCTTTGAAAAGATTAAATTCTTTATGCTCCCAAGGTCATGTGGAGGTGCTCAGAACACCACGCTGGGAAAATTCAGCAGTTTTTTGTGGCTCACTTTAGAAGTGTCCAAATTGACTCTGAAAAACAAACTGAGGGTTCTAGAGGGGAGGGGGTGGGAGGATGGGTTAGCCTGGTAATGGGTATTGAGGAGGGCACATTCTGCATGGAGCACTGGGTGTTATGCACAAACAATGAATCATGGAACACTACATC